TACGATCCCGAGCAGTTCTGGCGTCGCGTGGTAGCGCGGCTGAGCGACGGCAAGATGGTGGCGGGCGGCGCGCTGTCGGCGGCGGCGCTGGAGGCGCTGGCGACGGAGTGGGGGCGCGCGGCGGGCGGCCACGAGTGCGTGTGGTGCGGCAAGCGGTACTCGCGGCGGTACGGACTCAAGATACACGTGCGCACCCACACGGGCTACCGCCCGCTGCGCTGCCGCCACTGCCGCCGCGCCTTCGGCGACCCCAGCAACCTCAACAAGCACGAGCGCCTGCACGCGGCGCGGGGCGCGGCCCCGCCCGGCCCCTACTGCTGCGCCCGCTGCGGCCGGGCCCTGGCGCGGCGCCGCGACCTGGACCGCCACCTACGCACGCACGCGGACGACGGGACGGGAGTGACAAATGAAACACAGAGGTAGAAGTAAGAGTTTATTGCCTGCCGGCCTACTGGCCCGCGACCTTGGCGGCGATGCGCTTGTCGCGCTCCTCCGCGATGGTGAGACGCACTCCCTTGCCGCGCGGGAGAGAGATGTAAGCCTTCGTGCCCTTGCCGATGATGAAGACGTTGTTTAATCTGCAATAGAATAATAACTAAATGTAATACAATCCAAATAATACTAAATGTATATGCATATTAAACATTTGTGAAATGATGTTATTTAAACTGTGATAAATAAATATTAATATATAGTAAATTAACAAATTAATACTATTAATAGTTTTATTTATGGAAAACTTTAATTTTTTCGCGACCAAAAGTCTTAAACTCAATGGAGCAAATAGTATTTGAAAATTATTTATTTATTTATACTTCTAAACAAATGTATGGTGGACTTAACGCCTCAGGCATTCTCTACCAGTCTACATTTAGGAATAGAAGTAGTAGCATTGGATATGTACTACAAGCTTTTTCCCACGACTCCATTTGCGTAGAATAGTGACTTCCTTGCATGTTTTTGGTATGAAATCGGTTCAGTAGTTAAGGCGTGAAGAAAGACAGAGACAGAGTTACTTTCGCATTTATAATATTAGTTTGGATGTTTGTTATTTGGAAGATCATGTATTGTATGTGAGTGGCTTTCCAAATCCATAAATGGGAACCTTCCATTAAGATAAAAAACCTCAGTGTGATTGATATACATATTGGTGCCAAATTTCAGCTTTCTAGGGTTAATGGTCACTGAGATTATTCCCAGACAGACATGACGAAACTTTTGTTTGTGAGGGGAAAATCATCAAATGGCTTCTCCCGCTCAGAGCCGGGCAAGAGGGAGTGTCACTCTTACTGACTAAAAACCCCCCTGTTCCTTCTCCTGCTCTAGGCCGAGATCGCGGTGCCAAATTGCGCTTACCCCCTCCCCCCCCCCCCCCCCCCCCCTTCCGCAACCCCGGCTGACTATGGAACCCTAAAAATTTATATAATAATCTTACACCATGTAATTCCACGGTGTAGGCTCAGCTCGCCCCTTGGATCTCGCCCCTGATTGCCTAAGTGCATCAACTCGTCCCTTAAATTATATTATTAGACACTCCGACTCGCCCCCGATTGTTGGTTTTAGTTAAAAGAACTGTCAGCACTCTAAGTTTATAAAATAGTTAAATGAATATTTTATCTTAAAACTTCAATAATGGTCCCATAAAAGGTCCCTTTTGTTACAGTGGGTAAGCCAGGTAATAAAACTATCACAAGTGGTTAAATTACTTACCAGTTTTGTTTACTGTACATTTTTCTGAATATACCTTTTTTAGTTAAATTTCAAAGGGAATGCCGCAAGGGGCGAGTCGATGCATCAAAATAATTATTTAATTGTTAAGATTTTTCACTCGCCCCGTAAGGGTTTTCGTAAGGGGCGAACCACAACTCCAAATTAACTAAAAACGGGGCGAGTGGAACATTTTAATCGGAAGGGGCAAGATCCAGGGGGCGAGCTGATACTACACCAATTCCACAATCCTTGCAGCAATTAAAGGACAGGTACACATTTACAAAGTAACAATCACATCCACTTCTTACTAATTCTGTTCAGAGGGGATGAGGATATTGCTATACTTATTGTGACTTACTTTCCTTATACAGCAAATCAAATTATTTTTAAATATGTGAATAACCATATGTTACCATGAGTGAAAGTCACAAAGTAGGGTCAGGGCATATTCAATGAGAAGGATGTTCATGTCACAATGTCGATGATCTTATAAATATATGAAGATATGCAAATAAAATAATAATAATGACCACTGATGAATTCATGTGGATTAATCCTATATGTGTTAAGGTGTTACAGGTCTAGATGTTTTTGAAAAAGATATAATACAGTACTCATAATATGTACTCACCTAGTGGCAAAGGTGTGTCCTGTGGAATCCTTAATGTGTACAATGTCAAATGATCCGGGATGTCTCTCACGGGACACAATGGTGCCCACTCTTCCCAAGTTCCTGCCTCCAGTGATCATGCACAGGTTGCCTGCAAACATGCATTATTCTATTAGTGTTAACTTACATGTATAATAATGTAGTATAACTGTAGCAAGCACCAAGCATACCTGACTCAAACTTAATGAAGTCCATGATCTTGGAGGTGGCAATGTCAAGCTGCACAGAGTCATTGACTTTAATGAGTGGATCAGGGTAGCGGATGGTTCGTCCATCATGTGTCACCAGGAATGGCACATTCTTAGGTCCAGTAGACACACGCTTCACCTTGCAAAGCTTGTACTGAAAGGAACATATCATGCAATAATTTATAATTAACATAAAAGTATCATAACTGCATGTAATAGATACAATAGGTAGTTTTGATCATTATCATTTTTAATTATTTTTATAATTCAAATTATCAATATTTTTTATAATAAAATTAATAAATGGTACTATTGCTGGCCTGGAGAAGGAGAAATGGAGGGGTTTTATGCAAGAGACTGCCTCTCCATCTCACCCCAAACAGGGTAAGAGCAATCATTAAAACTTGAGTCACACTGCAGGCTGGATATTGAATTAAAAAATCACATGAGTTCATACATACAAAAATAATCGATTCCAATCATCTATAGTATAGATATCTATCTAGATTATAGAATTAGATCAAGCTGCAGTATAATATTTATAATGATACTACCAACCTTAGCTTCTTCAGGGGTGATACGGTGTACAGTAAAACGGCCTTTTACATCATAAATGAGGCGGAACAATTCATTTGTCTTCTCAATCGAAACAACATCTGTAATAATATAATTGTAACTATATAAAACCAACTCAACTATGTTCTCTAATTTGTCTTTGTGAAAATCTACAAACTTGCCTTTAATTCCATCTAAAGTGTTATACAACTAGTCTAAAGCTGCTATATTTGACTTATGCACTTAGCTTGGTCAGTGGGTAGCCTAAGGGCTTCTGATCAAATAGTATAATAATCATTTAATCATGATAGACAACAGTGAGTTCTATGATAATATAGAACAGTTACTTGTGTAGCAACTAAAATATTCGAATTTAATTATATTGGATTAAATATAAATAAATAAATTTATGTCAAACTAGCCAAAATTACGTCGGAGAAAAAGCACGCGTACAACTCACCCATGAAGCCCGCAGGGTATGTGGGGTCTGTCCTCACTTTGCCGTCCACCTTGATCAAACGCTGCTTCACGATCTTGAGCACCTCATTACCGGTGAGCGCGTACTTCAGGCGGTTACGTAGAAAGATCACCAAAGGCAGGCATTCGCGAAGTTTGTGAGGACCAGTCGAGGGTCTCGGCGCGTACACGCCGCCCAACTTGTCCAACATCCATGCTTTGGGAGCATTTAGACGCTTCAAATGCTTTTTGGGTCCTCGAGCCTAAACAAACAATTTCTGTCACACCACAAACTTAACCTCACATTTTTATTTTGTACTAATAAATATATCTTGAAATATTTCACTAGGCGCTTTAGACAGCTTACCATAACTAATGCTAATTCGAGTTATTTATAATCAATACGTTGAGAAGAAACAGAACTTTAAATTTTTAGCGACAGTTGTATTAGGAAATCGGCGTTAAAGTAAAGGACAACAATCGAAATTCGATGAAAATTTTGACTGAACTATTTTAATTTTACACAACGCTTTGAGGATACAACACTAAAATTAATTAAATACAAAACACTTTTAAGATTTACTCGGATTAAAATAAAGTTAGCAAGAGAAACTCACCATGTTGGACACAAACTTTTAACAAGAAAGAAACGTCAAACTTGATCCTTGACAATACCAAATATTTTGAAAGAAAAAATTGTTTTTGGTATGTTTGGAACTTGGTTTATTAGCACAGAAAAGAACGTACAAATTTTTTTCAGTGACAAAATATTACGCCATGAGTATATTTTAATATGACATAAGAAAATCCAATGGTTAAAAAAAGTAAATAATTACTTTATTTCACATATTTATAAAAAGTACTCTAAAACCACTTTTTTAAATATTGAGTACTATAAAATAAAATAATATTTAAAAATACGCAGCGGGAGGAAGATCCAAGCGACCGGTGGTTAGGGATCTAGACACAGAAACCTCCTCACACTACGCGCCATTTCAAGGAGGACTGCCTTCTGTACGAGGCCCTTGATCCATCCGCCCATCGCCAGCCGCCTGAGTCGGTTGTTGTTGAGACATAAAATTTTATTAGATTTAGTGAATGAAGGGTTAATAGTCTTTAATGTAGACAAGTTATAAAAGAAAGCTAATACATAAAAAAAGACAAGAAGAAGAAAAGACGTGCATGCAGAAAATCACTCACGATCATTCCTCTCGATTTTTTGTTCTAGGGATCATGAAAGATAACGGTAGAATTCAACCTTTACTGTTTTCAAATAGTCAGTTACAATCTAGAATAAATCTATCTTGACTTGACTTGACTTAATATTCTGTGTCCCCTAGATGGGGCAAAGGGCGTCCACTGAAGTTCTCCATCGCGATCTGTCTTGAGCTTCACGCTTCACCTCACTCCACATCATACCGATGCTTGTCGCTTCTGCCAGTACGGTGCGACAGGGTGCGACGCCAGGATTGCCGTGGACGGCTACGCTTTCTTTTCCCTTGGGTATTCCATTCCAAGGTTTGCTTGGGTATGTGGCCAGGACCCCTTCGGAGCGTGTGCCCTATCCATCCCTACTTGCAGCGCTTGATCTATCGGTCGATTGGGCTTTCGTGGCATTTCTCCAAAAGCTCTATGTTGGAGATTGTCTCGGGCCAGTAAATTCCGAGAATGCTGGCCTAAGAATTAGCACGCGAAAGACCAAAGAAATTAAAACGGTTGTGAAGAATCCTACAACGTTGCTGATTGGCACAGAGGCAGTGGAACGCGTCATCTCGGGAGCGTCGTGTCCGAGACTGGGGGTACTGAAGAAGACATCACTTCAAGGATCGCAAAAGCCCGAGCTACTTTCGCGCAGCTGAGTCAGTGGCAGTCACGGTAACTGTCCGGAAGGATTAAACTGAAAGTCTTCGGATCCAATGTAAAATCCGTACTGCTCTATGGGTGCGAAACGTGAAAGGTTACTAAAGATATCTCACGTCAACTTGAAGTCTTCGTTAACCGATGCCTGCGTCGCATTCTCGGAATAAATCTACCTAAAGATAAATAAATCTTATAATTATTTCCACTACTGCTATATCTAATTAATAACGGCGTGTGACTTGCTTTATGTAATGTCCTCATGTCAAACAAGACTGCTGATCATCGTCACGTTGTACCAAGAATATTATATAGAACACTGGATGTTGCCCCTACAAGAAATTATTGAATCCAAGTTTATTCACCTTTCGTATGTTTTTTATCTCGCTCACACTTGAATAAAATGTTGCCATAATAAAATGACTTTTTACCTTGGTAACTGATCATAAGTATATGACCAAAAGAGAGGCACACATATTTTATGTTTATTTTGAAATCCAAATATCAGCCTTAAAAATTTAAACAATTTAAAAGTTATTCATAGTTTATTCAGGCTATTTTAAAGTTGTTTTTTTATTAAAATTATTTTTAAGTTTACCCACTTTTAAACTTTTAACGTGGAGTTCAAAACTTGTAACACTGTTGGGGTAGTATTATCCAAAATGGCTACTCTGTCAATTACTTTTCGGCTACTCGAAGTGTTTGACTGAAGTATTTCGAGGATTTGTGAATTAATTTAAAGTGCCTTATTATGTATTGCGTAGTCAAAGATTGTACAAGTGTATGGAACCCAACATGAAATGTCATCTTTCACAGGTAAGTCCAGAAATACCATATTTTAAGATATACATTATCGTTACCTATTTTATGCCAATATTTAAAAAATCTGTAAATATTTACGTTCGAAACGGTGTCACAAACATTTATCTAGTAATCTTTGTCATCGTTTAGAAATTTATATGTGTAAATCGCATATAATCATTAAAAAACAGGTACGTTTAGTCTTAGACGTCAAAATTGTATGTTTGTAAACAAAGAGCTAAAGAGTGACCATATTTTTTAAGTTAGGTAGATACTTTTTGGTTTGTGGAATGGTTGAATTTTATGTAGGCCTCGTTGCTCTTATAATGAGACTAACGTATTATATCTGAGGGTAAAACAGAAAGGTCTTCAAATTTTAATAATTTAAAGAGTGTTGAAACTAAGGTTAGAGAGGTCCTGCTATTTTGCTCTAATTACAGTAAATTAAATCAGTCAACTCGGTTAATATACAATTAATTTTATGTTTCAGTTTTCCCAAGGACTCGGAAAAAAGGCAGAAATGGTGGTCTGTTATACCATTAAAAGGGAAGTTTTATGAATCAGCAAAGATTTGTAGCTTACACTTTAAGCCGGAGAATTATGATCCATTAAGACCAAAAAGGCTAAAAATAGTGCTGTTCCGGTTGATTCTGTACAATTATGCTCCTGTGGTAATAACGTTATGGTAAGCATTTTTTACATTTCACAATGTGCTGCTTACCCATCCAACAACCATGTTGAGAATAATATTTCAAATTACAGGCATGTAAAACGCCATTCAAATGCTTGGTTTCACCTAATGCAATGATACCGACAGAAACTGATACTTGTTCCAGTGTCAGGAAAAGAACACAGCTGTTGCGAAAAGGACATACACATCATACAAAATGAAAATATTGTAAGTATTTAACTTATTGTCTAGTATTAAGGTATGTTTTTATCCTTTTCAAAATTTGCTGCTTACATACCTAGCAATCATGTTAACACTAATATTTCAAATTACAGGCAAGTACAACGCCATTCAAGTGCTCGGCTTCATCAAATGAAACAATACCAACGCACAACACACACAGTGAAAATATTGTAAGTATTTAATTTATTGTGTAGTATTAGCTTGTACTTATGGCATAGAAGTCAAACCAAACCTTCAACATCCAGGTTAGGTTTTTTTTGTTTTTTTCACGATGTAGTAAGCTCATGATAGACATTGAGACCTTTTGATCATCTTAGTTGTTACTGATTATAATCTTTGTTCCACAGGTAGTTGATGAAAATGAACCGCCAGCGAAACGACGCCGCTTAAAAGATTTTAATGTTCAATGTAAAATAAAGTCACTCGGGAAAAGTGTTTGGAAAAAACGAAAAAAAATTACAACAAAAAGTTGCGCGAAATGAACAAAAAATAAAAGATTTGAAGTCGTTAGTAAACATTGTTCGTAATTACAGAATATAACAGAATTCATAGTTCATAAAATTTTACAAAAAAACACTTGTAACTTTTGTCATCAATTATTAACTACCGAAAATGAAAAAAAAATATATGATCATGATTATTTTGTTAATATTAATAGACATTCTGCGTTTACGACCTTTGTAAATAGGGGTAAATTATGTTTCGCATCTGATGCAGCGTTCGAGGTAGTGCGCTACTCAGATAGTTTGTTTAAGCACTCGGTATCCAAAGGTATACTGTACAATCGAAATTAGTGTTAGCGGTCCTGGAAAAATTTTATCCACTGTTGCAGGAATTATTTGTGCCTAAACATCCAATCACTGATACTTGTATGGATTTACACGAAACTTTATTTTTTTTATGTAATCGGTCGGCAAACGAGCAGACGGATTACCTGATGGTAAGCAATCAGCGCCGCCCAGGGACACCCGCAACGGAGGAGTTACGAGTGCGTTGCCGACCTTTTAGGGATTTGGGATTTGGAGATTTAGGGATTGAGGGAGGGGAAGGATTGGGCCTCCGGTAACCTCACTCACACGGCGAAACACAACGCTGTGGTTGTTTCACGCTGGTTTTCTGTGAGGCCGTGGTATCACTCCGGTCGAGCCGACCCATTCGTGCCGAAGCATGGCTCTCCCACACTTAAAAATAATAAAATATATTTCGAAACTGAAATAATAAAATATATTTCGAATAGTTTTTTTAAAATAAGAATTCATTCTTATCTGAAAACTTATACTCAAAAGCTTTTGGGTGACATTCGCACTAAAAGGCAAAAATTGCATAAAACTGTTTTATTTTCACAGTTATCACAAGTTTATATCACACGTTTTATTAATAAAAATGATTTTGCACTGTAATGACTTTTTTTAAATATCCCCGGTACGGTCTGACGGCAACCTACCAATTATTCACCATCCGCTAGCCCGTGCCTATGCTGGCTGAAAATCGAGATCGGGATCCTATCGTCAACACACATGATCTTACATTCGCCCTCTTTCAATATGTATAGACATTTGTTATTATTTAATTAAAAAGGACTTGATACTAGGCTTTATGATTTGGAATAAAAACGAGGACTTGTAACTGTTTAAGGAAATTTATTGAATGGTTGATATCGTGTGAGAAGTGATATGGAAGACAGAGGAGTTAGCGATAGCGTGACGAGTGACAGGACAGAATGGAAGAAAAAAACATTGCACCGACCCCAAATAAAACGGGACAAGGGCAGGAAGATGATGATGGTTGATATCGTGGACTGGTAAGGACTTATGAAATCAAATAGGTATTGGCTTTTAGCTGCAAGTAATTTTTAAGCTTAAATGGGAACTTATCAGCTTGACTTGTTTTCAAGGGGTGTTTTTGAAAGAATACCTATCATTATAATTCTTATTGTTTACATACGCAGTATATCTTTTTAACCGTTTCCGTGCGGATGATGCCGCACAGGCACCATGTAAATCTATTGCGTATGGCGTATGGTGCCCGAGAGGATACAAAACTAAATCATACAAAACTCGGCTTAAACGACATTCGTTAAAAGAGCCCCCTAAATAATAGTGTCTTTATTTGTCACCCTTATCATGCCCACAGTGTTCGTTTTAAGTAATTTCGCAAATTAGCTGACATCAGGGGTTGTAAACCAAGTTGCCGACACATTTTATTATTGATTATAATTGTAACACCCCACTTTCTGGAATGTTTCTCAAAAATCAAAGGCTTTTGTCATAAGGTTCATTGTTGCCTAAAAACGTACAAAGAGTGCGCTGTTCGCCGGCCCTTCGCCTACGAAGTACCGTATTTCCTTGCGTATACGGTTGATTATTGTTTAAAACTACGCCGTTCATAATTGTTTGCGCCGGCGCACAGTACAATATTTTGATAAACTAGACGGACAAAAGTCAATTTAGGACATGTCTTAAATGATCCTTCCAACGCCAAAGAATCAAGACAAGCTGCTATGCTCTGGTATTGGTACAAAATAATTTTGTCCTGCTAGTTTTTCATACTAACTGTGCGGTGCATAACTATTTCACCCCGGCCGGGGCGGCGGGGCCCCGCACTTCTGTCTTATATTTAGTTTAGTCAGGAATATATTTCATTTTTTTTCTGGGTAACTCTACAACAAAAAAAAAACTTGTCAATTAAACGCTTAACAAAAATCCACGTTTTTAAATGGATAGACAGATATTTTTTATCAATAAAAACACATTTACATTCTTATCCAAATAAAACACTTCAAAATCATGTAAATGTTTATAGGTACCTACGAGTACAACATTTTTGATTCATTAGAATCGGACTTCCCATTCAGTTAAATGTTCTACAGTAATCCAGTATTTTGTAGAGAAACAATTTTATCATCAAAATAGTGAAGTTAAAATTGTTTCCCTACAAAACACTGTATTATAAATAAATATCACCTCGCGACAAACTCAAGTGGTACGTGTATAAATTCTTTACAACACTTGAATAAATAAATCCATGAAATAATGCAAAAAGGTTTACGACCCCTAATATAAATTAGTCACTTACCTTCCATTTCCATAAAAACACACAGATCGTCACTTTTAAACGCACTGAACGAATTTACTGACTGCCTACGTTAGATACACAATGTCAAATGATTATTTTAGCAAGTAGAAACACGAAAACAAGCTAAAAGTGACAATTCATGGCGGATGATTCCCCAGGGGAATCATCAAACTTTCTGGCGCTTGGTGCCTCAGAGGCATCACAGAATTTTTGTTTGACGCCAGGCACTAAAGATTGCTAAAAAGACTTCCGCACGGAATCGGTTAATTTGTGTTGCTTACCTGCCAAAATATTTGTGTCAAGTTTAATATCTAAAGAAATGATATCTAGATATAGCAGTATTACTGTTAAGTGTTAACGGTTGTGTGTATACGTAAGTACTCTTAAGGGTGTATTAAGATAACATGCGCTGAACACGCACAGCATCCGCGCATGCTTTGTGCTCGTCTTAGACCTAAAACATACGCAAGCGACGTAAAGCGAAGGCACGGGGCCGGCGCAGCGCAGGCGTTGGACAATTCACAAACATGCGGTAAACACTCATTAAAACATCTGTTATTCCAAAATCAAAATCGATCTTCAAGGCACCAACCGTTGTTTCCTTATCAGCACAAGAACACAGTTCAAAGCAAAACCCAACAGTATTTCTACATTTAAAAAATGTTTCTGGCCATGAAATGTTGACAAATATTTAAATATTTTTTATAATTTTTATGTAATGCCAATAAACGTCCTAAGGTACCCTCAACGCATACGGTATGTTGGTGGCATGACGTAGTTTTCTCGATCAACGCAAATGGTGCGTTGGTAGCAACGAATGGGATAAGGAACATACGACAGACAGACAAACATTTTAGCCATTGTATTTTTAGCATCAGTATCGAGTTATCGACTACCAACCCCTGATAGTTATTTTGAAAATATATTTAATGTACAGAATTGAGTTCTCTACAGATTTACAATTATATGTATGTATAGATTACTAAACCAAAACTAATACGATCGAAAACCACACTAAAATAGAAATGTTGAATTTAAACAATCATAAATATGTACAAAATATCCTAAAGCTAGTAAAAATAGTTGTCACCCTGATGAAAGAGATGCAAAACATAAATGACGTGTATCAAGGTCATTTTATTAGTCCTCAGTTCTTTTTTCTTGGTGCAACATCCAGTGTACTTTATAATATTCTTGCGTTGTACACTTAATACGGCATAATGACCTAGATTCAAATTACAAAATTACCAATAAAAAAATTTATCAATGTCCTCCTGTCAAGATGTCTTGGTTTAAAGGACTCGTATCCAGGCCATAAACTCCAAAAAAAAAAAAAAAAGATGTCAAACTCAATATTACGAAGTTTGAGGTTATAAGGTACAATAATTGTAATTTGAGGTTATTGTTAACATACTTACCAGGTTACAACGTTTTCACTATGTGATTAAAGTAGATTTAACCGAAGGATACTTACTTATTGACTTTTAAATATTTATGGAGTCTTCTTCGGATAATAGTTTTGCTTGGACGGATACTTCAACTGACAGCGTAAACAGTACTTCAATGTAAGAAATAGAATTTTATAATCACTAGTGCTTGTTTTGATATAGAGCAATTATAGTGAAAAGTTTGTTTTCATGACATTTCATAACCCATCAAGCAGCTGTATAAAATTTTGGAAACAATCTGCCTTTTATTTGTAATTTTTAAATAATGCTTTCTTTAAATATAATGTACCTACCGTTACTGTTTTAAGTGTCAATAACACATTAAAGAGTACGTGTATGATCAAACTTTGCCAGGAATCATATTTTCTTATTTTCTGAGAAGCTTAGCTTGATTTACACTTCACCTCCAATACCATTTACATACCAAATTTAATCCAAATTGTTTGAGTAGATTCAGAGACCTGGAAATGTAGGTATATAATATATTATTATATAAAATAAAATTATTTGTTTAAAGATATTAGTTTAAATCAAAGTAAACCCAAGTGTTCAGTTTTCATTGATATTTGATGGTGATTGTTGAAGCTTCATGAAAATATGAATGTGTGTATACTTATGTGGATTTGTTTCAGATGACTATACTGATAATTCTGTGTAACAAATTCCTCAGCGAGAAGATTTATATTTGCTATTAACAACTTTTTCAAGTACAGTTGTATAAGTCATAAAAGTTGTATATGTTAAAATCATGATTATTTATGTAAATAAAATGTGTCAGTTTGGACCAAATGATAATAAATATTTCATTTTCGAGGTTGGGCAAGGTATCAATAGCATATTAATCTAGCTGACCAGTTCTATATCTAAACTAATATTATTAATGTGAAGGTAACTCTGTCTGTATGTCTTTTCTTGATGTAAATTCTAATTAATCTGTACTTTAGAACTGAAATTTAAAAGTTTTGAACTCGAGAAAGGACATAGGATAGTTTTTAACCTAAAGTGCAGGAAGTCACTATAAGCTATTTCCAATTATACTACAGAAGATTATTTCTGTGACCATTAAAGTATATTTTGTTATGAACACCAACCTACATAGTATATCATTGTGAATTATAAGTAATAGTAGTTTATAATAAGAAGTCAATGCCCCTTCAGCCTTAATTTATTTAAAAGCTTTATGATTGGTAGATTTTTGTCACTTTCAGTAACCCTGTTATTTTCATATGTAACTCCTTTCCATTTTAATAGAGCCAGAACCTACTGAGACTCTGCTTTTGTCTGCATCATCTGCAATACATTTGTCAGTTTGAAGCTTATTCAATGCAAACTAATAACTAAAAGAGAAATTCTTTACCAAATTAATATTTAAGTGACCACTTGGGTGATTGTTTCACTTAGGAATTCACTCTTTCTACATAATACCTCTACAAGTGCGAAACTGCATGTTCACTCATGTAATATTATATCTGTTTGGACGATACCTTTGAATTTGTTTTGATGTTTCTTCTCAGCATAGTCAGTTATGATATGACATGCTGGCTTCATCCAAATGACCTACAAACAATATAAAAGGTTGGTTTCCTAGTGTAATTTCTTTATGTATTCATTTGTTTCAGGGCAACTGATGAAATCAACGAAAACAATTCACAAAAGTCTGATAATAAAGTAAAAAAAAAAAAAGAAAAAATATCCAGAATCAATGAATCAATTCTTTTAAAAAGAGATATGGCAATTAAAGAAGAAGCTTGTTTCAGTAGTATTAAGCAAGAGCCTGACAGTGAAAACGATTTAAAAAAAAAGAAAAAGCGAAACAAACATGAAAGTTATAGTATTCAGAATGAGTCACAAGACTCTGCGTCATATGATGAGACTTATCTCAACATGAAAGTCAAACTAGAAGAGACATCGGTTGTGCCTTCAAAAAAACATAAACAAAAAAAAAAGAGACACAGTTCAAGTATAGATTTTAATTCAATAAATTTCAACAATGAAGTGAATAATGAGGATACTCATATTTCAAATCAAGAAGCCGAAAAATCTATAAAATCAAAGAAAATAAAGAAATTAAAAAAAGGAAATGCCAGTAACGATCAAGTAATTGATGAAAAAACATATGTAACAGAGCCAGATGTCAGTCTACTGGAGCAAACAATTAGAAATACTGAACATAATTATAACAACAATCGATCTATTATTCAGAATGATACATTACATGATGGTAGTGAGGAAGAAAGCAATGGTGAAATATCTGCAATCAAATGTGATGATAGTAATATCCATGCTATATCATTCATGGACAAGAGTATAGAAAAATCTAAATCACGAACTAAAAGACTATCAGATAGAATACGATTTGAAGATGACATTGAGTCTAATATCAACGAGTCAAGTCTTGAAGAAGATAACACTTACTCTGAACAAATTAAAAAACCATTAATATTGAAGAAAGTTACAAAAATCAACCCTAATCTGAAACAAGTTCCTCATACATTTAACACAAATGTTAGCATCAATCAAAATGATGAAATATGGGTTCTAAAGTGCCCAAAAGAAATTAACATTTCCGATTTTACCAACACTACTTTAAGTGTTCATGGAAAATGCAAGGTAAAGGTGGCTGGCCAAACATATGAAGGCAGTGCTGAAGAAGAACAATCACATCGATTGTCTTATCTGGGTATAGATCATAACAAACTTAAAATAAAAAATATATCACTTAGTGGGGTTATTACTTTACGTAAGAGAATCCCAAAGGCACATTTCCGTGATGATAACATAATAGTAAACAATCAAAGCAACTTCATACCACTTCCGGAAACCAAATGTCGTCATCCTCTTTTTGGGTCTAATTATAAAAAGTCCTTGAAAATTCCTGCTGCTATATCAGAACGTTTAAATATGCAAGCCAATGGAGAAGTTTTAAAAACTGAAAAGAGAAAGAAAAAAAAAGGCAATAAAGATGAAAAGAGAGTTGAGCAGGTTGAATCACAAGAATTGAGCATCTCTGAGATGAAATCAGAGCCTGGCTTAGCTGTAAGGGAAAAGAAAAAAAAGAAACGCAAACTTCTTGATGATGAAGGTCCTGCAAAAAAGAAAGTGAAGCGTATCAAAACTGATCCAGAGTCAGAAGAAGCATGGGAATCAGAAAAAGCTATAGAACAAAATTTATTTAACTTTTAATACATCTTTGTATCTAAATAAATAAAAATTATTTCTAAAACTTATTTGTTCCAATCTATAAACTAGTGTCTATATGAGGCGTCCAGCGACTGGGACCACAAAAATTCGAACCGCGGGCCCGGACGCCGGAACTTCGGTATATATTGTATAGTCTAGTTATATATAGTTTGAACCCTTATAGTTTCGCTATGTCCATCCGTGGATAATCTCAGTGAACGTTAGTACTAGAAAGCTAAAATCAAATTTACAGAAACAAGTTTTGAAATCCAATTTACTTATCAGTTCAAAAAATAAAGGGGTTGCTGACGTGCAGGGCTGACGCCTGCCAGGTCATGGCTATTGCTCTTAGAATACCATAAATCATCTAACCTTACAGAGAGACCGTTACTCCCAGGGTTCACTTCACTGGCTCTCCAGCTAATAGTATCTACGCACGCGTCGACGCACGCACACGGTAACAAAATCTCGTTTCTCAGTGCGCCAGTCGAGGTTAACACTCACAGAACATAAACACCCTAACGGGTCAGCCAGCGGTTGCGGGGTAAGCGGAATGAGGCACCACGTCCTCTCGGCCTAAAACAGAAGATGGAACGGGGGTTTTAAGTCAGTAAGAGCAAAGTATAAAGAGAAGGGAAGTAGGTTATCTTCACACAAACGCACCGCGCGTGGCTTGTACCTATGTGTGCGCCATAGTATCTACGCGTTGACACGCGCACACTGTAACAAAATCTCGACCCGTTTCTCAGTGCGCCAGTCGGGGCACACTGGACGAGGTTCGCGCGACACTGTTTTTCGGCACCGCTAAATGAAAACAAAATGTCCGATAATCGCAGGAGAACGTATTGCTGTGTGTTTGGGTGTCTTAACAATTCATCGATTCCAGAATTGCCTCTGTTCAGATAACCTATTGAACAGTGCCGGATTAGCCACGTAGCAAGAGTAGCAAATGCTACGGGCCCCGCGCTCAAATTGGTATTTCGTAATTACACCACTTCAACAGCGAGACATAATATGTAGAAAATGTTTTGTTTACAAAACTACTACCAAACTGCAAGTAATTTGATTTTTTTCTTAACGAAATAAACGAAAAAATACAAATAGTCGGTATTTTGTATGTGTAAGAAAAGGAAAGCGAGTATTTGTCCGCTCGGTTGGTGCCATTGGCGGGCGAACCTAGCCGATGCGAACTGCGCGCACGGCTAATTTCCACCTCACCTCTAAGTATAATATCTATCACGAAAAACGTTGGTATCAAAATGAACAACAATAAATTGAGCGCTAGCCACACACAAGATAAGTGTTGCACTACTTGCACTGCACTAAGCACAAGTTGGCAATACTGCAAAACCATTTGGGGAATTCCCATTGAACACTGACTAACTCAGAACTACTAATGTTATCGTGATTTTCGGTCTCAAGTAGTCGTCGTCTAACTAAGTTAAAACATGTATTAAAGAAATAATATTTTTTGCTTTTTAGCTTAGGTACTTTTTGAAGTCGAAATATTTTTGTTAAAAATTATTTATTTCACAATCGTCTGATCAAGACCTTAATACGGGATACGCCCTTTATGAATCATTATATGGCTACGTCCAAGCAATGCGATCCTATTTTTCAGATATTAGAGGCAAGAGCCAAAGATTTTACTACCTAACTGTGAAGAATACCAGCAACAGACATTACGACGAATCAAGCGAAATACAAAGTACGACCTTTTCAGCGGCTCTAATACACTCGACGACTATGTTGAAAATCAAACACCTGGACAACGTTTCGAATTTGAGGTGTTTGTTGTCATGATTGATAACGTACTGTCTGCTATAACTAAACGTATGAAGTGTTTTGTAAGTATTTCGACTGATAAAATCTCTTGCAACAGAAGAGATTTTGAAAAAATCGTCAAAGATGTTCAGTGCTTACGAAGATGATTTGGAGAACGGCGAATTAGTGCAGTTCGTAGAGTTGCTGAAAACAGATGTGGCTACTGTAATTGATAGCAAGAAACAGGAGCCCCTGGAACTGCAATTTTATAAACTTTTATTAAATAATTCTTTAGAATCGTGTTTCCCAAATTAAAAATTGCCTTGCGTATTTACTTATCTCTCATGATCACTAACTGCAGTGGCGAACGCTCTTTTTCAACGTTGAAAGAACGTCTTAATCATCTCACGTTGTTGTATATATACCATGACTTCCTTAAAAAAGTCGATATTGAAAATTTTCCTTCTTTTTTGTGAAGGGAAAATCATCAAATGACTTCTCCTGCCCCAGACGGGTCAGGCGGGAGGGAGTGTCAGATTCTTACTGACTAAAAACCCCCTGTTCCTGCTCTAGGCCGAGGTCGCGGTGCTCGCTTACCCCGCAACCCCGGCTGAACATCAGCCCTATAGGACCTCGTCTGTGGTGGTCTCTTGGCCCTTCGAGGCGCGCGCAGAACGCTACGCGCCGTACGCTCGGGTCTGATTCTGGTCGGGCGGCGAGCTACCCTTACTCGTCGTCCGCAGACCCGCGCTTACGGTGGCCGGAGATCATCTCTCGATCCCCGACGCCCGGAATGTCGCCTTCTGCGGCGGCTGGGGCGCGAGGAGGATAGTTCCCTTGAGCGCTCCGCCTCCTCCTTTGCGAGCATAACTGCTACGCAGAAGGAGGAGATAGCTTCCCAGTTCCTCTCACGCTGCACCATGGCCTCAATTAAGGCCGAGCGCGAGAGGTCGCCGCCGCCGATCACTTCCCTGAGAACACGGCGGTGCTCAGCCCAAGCAGGGCACTCCGCCACCGTATGCTCCACTGAGTCCTCCAGGTGATCCTCACAATGACGACACTCGGGCGTTTCCTTCCGCTGGATCCAAAACAGGAACCTACCGAAGCTGCCGTGCCCGGTAAGCACCTGCGTCTTGCGGAAGGTGAGGACGCCGTGGCGTCTCTCAAGCCACTCCTCAAAGAGGGGTCTTACCGCTACTATAATAGCGTGCCCGGCCCTTGGTTGCGACAGTCGCTGCTTTTACTCAGCCATGAGATCTCGCCGGAGCTCATTCCACCACGCACTAATTTGGCGTGGCAGAGCATCCTCACCCCGGCGACGCGCGTCTGCGCGCAAACTGTAGACGCGCGCGAGCGCCTTCGCTTCCAGATCCCACGGCGGTGATCCGGCAAGGAGATTCGCCGCCTCCCTGGAGATCGTGCGATATCCGCGGATTATTCGGATAGCCATGACCCTCTGGGACGCGACCAGCGTACGAGCTGGCCGCCGCCTTAAGTCCGGCGCCCACACAGGGGCCCCGTAGAGGGCCATGGATCGCACAATCCCCATATACAACCTCCGGCAGGAGGCGTTTGGCCCCCCGAAGTTAGGATGGAGTAGCTTGAGAGCGGCCCCAGTCCGTTCCAACTTAGGGGCCAAACGACGAAAATGCTCCGTGAAGTTCCACCGGCTGTCGAGGACGAGACTCAGGTATTTCATTGCCGACTCGACGCCTATGGTAACTTCTCCTGCCGTTACTTGGGACCCATCTGGAGGTGGCGCGTTCCGACGGCCATAAAAACACATGGCCTCGGACTTGTGAAGCGCCACCTCGAGTCCCAACTGCCGGATCCTTGCAACGACTTTAACTATGACGAAGTGAATAATGCCTTAACGAAAGTTCATAATTGGTTCACAAAAAACAACTTAGTACTTAATGATAAAAAGACGAAATGCATTAGATTTATTTTGCCAAATGTTAAAAGTAACGTATGCGATGATATATTATTAAATGGTCAGAAACTGGAATTTGTAAAGGAGACCACATTCTTGGGGATTACTGTAGACGACAAGCTGCAATGGGGGCCCCACATTAGATCTCTAGCAGGGCGGTTGAGCTCGGCAGCTTATGCTGTCTGGAAGATCCGTCAGCTAACCGACGTAGGCACGGCACGAATAGTGTACTTTAGCTACTTTCACAGCATCATGTCGTATGGAATTCTGTTGTGGGGACAGGCATCCGACGTTGAGTCTATCTTTATCTTACAAAAGCGTGCAGTCAGAGCTATCTATAACTTAGGTCGTCGCGAATCTCTCAGAGAAAAGTTTAAGGAGATCAACATTATGACCGTACCATGTCAATATATTTATGAAAACATTATATATGTTAGGAAAAACCTACAGCTATTTGTAAAAGTATCTGACAAGCATGACTATCTTACTAGACATAGAAATAGATTAAGTCAGCCTTTATTTAATGTTTAATGGTTAATGAAAGTAAATTTAAATTATGTATAAAGAAAGTATTATGTAGGAAAGCATACTACAAACTAAATGATTATATAGAAGATAAAAATGCTTGGAGGGTGGCTGGTTTGACTGCACAGGATAAAAATTGTTAAGGTTAAGAGGAATTTTGATCTCAATTATTAAATTATTCACCATGTTGTTGATTGTTGATAAACTGGATTTTTGTAAATGTGAGAGCCCTGTAACTTATTATAATTGAGTTAGACTTATAGACTTATAGTATATTGGTACTTGTGTCAGTTGGGAGTTGTCATGCTCACTCAGGAGTCTCATTGGCGGTGGCATGGGCACTGGACCGCTCGGTTCCCTATAATATGGTTGAGTTGGGCGGTGCTGGTGTACGTGTCATGTTCGTGAACGGACGCCGCCTATTGGGACTGGTCAACTCGAGACTGTCTAAAGTTGCTGTCCCTGAGGGTTATTTCTTTTTCGGATACTTTGGTTAAACACTAGTGTTACACTGTTCTCACATAATGGAGCTATCTAAATTATGTAACAATGTATTGTAAAAAGTGATTGAAAAAGAGTAACCATGGAGTTTCTTGCTCGTTCTTCTCCATAGGAATCTACACTTTGGAACGAGCAAATAGCTTCACTAGAGGACAGACGGACAGACTGACACATAAAGTTAAACCTTATGATATCTTTTTTGCTTGACGTTCAAAAGTGCCTTTTTTGGTCTATTTGAAATAAAGAATTTGATTTGATTTGATTTGATTTGACTGTCGCGACCGCTTGCGACATCAGGTCGGCGCCGCCTGATGTGACATCCTA